AAAAAAATGAAAATTTTCGAGCAATTTTTGTGCTTTACTGCACTCGGGGTTATGTAAGTTGACGGAGAAACGGTAGGAGTGAATAAATAATGGTGAAATTTTCCCAGAAAAATTAGTTGTTTTCGTTGAAAAAATAAAAATTACCATTTTTTCCTGTATACTCTATACAGTGTAGCGTTAAAAGTGGCTGATTCTACTGCAGTGAGTGTTATGGTAATTTTATAGGGGAACGGGAGGAATGGAAAATCAATGAAGAAAATTTTTCGAAAATTATGTTTTTTGGTCGGAAAAAATGGTAAAATTTCATTTTCCGCAAAAGTTTGTATTTGATTTAGGTATTTGGTGATGTTGGTGACACGAGGGGTGATGCTGTTGTTATTATGGCCGTTCCTGGAGAGGATTGGGCCTAAGGTCGATTGGAGGTCTTTGACGGTTATCTTCTGGGGTGGTCTCAGAGGTGCTGTTGCTCTCTCGTTAGCTGTAAGGGGAAATTATGGGAAAAAATAGAGAAAATATTTTTCCCGATGAAATTATCATGGAGTGTAAGGGGAAATGGTTGGAAATTGTAGGAAAAATCGAAATTATTTTTCCGGTGAAATTTGGATGGGCTGCAACCAGAAAAGCTTCGAATTTATGGTCGTGGGAAAAATTCAAAAAAATATTTTTTTGGGTGAAAATTTGGATTTTTTGGCTGTAAGCAGAAACGCTTTGCATTTTTGGTCGTAAGGGAAAAGCAAAAAATTTTCGGCAAAATTTTAAAAAAAAATTATTTTTCTTTTGTGATCAGGTGATGGTAACTAAATCGGAGGATGCATTTCCGGACGTTCGCCTTCGAGAAGAGTTGATGTTTATCGTTGGTGGCTGCGCTTGTTTGACTTTGCTCGTCAACGCTACTACAGCTCACGCACTGGTGGGTGAGATTTCGTGCCGCGTGACGGCTGTATTTTCGCATAGGTGAATATTTTGGGTTTCACAGAATTGACGACGAGTAAAAAGATCCTCTTGAAAAATGTGGATTTGAGTATTGCCGAGGCGGCGAGAGAAATGTGAGAAAAATGTGGTCTGTGAGAATTGAACCGGGGGTCTTCCGATGGCTGGCAGGTACGATGAACTGCTGGTCGATGATGAAGTGCTTCGGACGAGCTGTCCTAAGGTGGGATCTTGCTAATCTTGGTAAATCTTGCATTTCCTCAACGCAGACTTTGACGGAGGCGGTGAGCACGTTGAGGTTGAGGAGGGCTGGTGGTGATAGTGGGGAAGAGTCACCGAAGAGAAATGTGTCACCGCGCCACGAAATTAGGAGAATTTATAGTGACATTCATGTCGGACATAGACTTATCTCACCGGG